GGGGTGTCGGGGGAGTTTAAGACTAACTGGGCGACGAAACTGGAATAAGCAGCCAGGGTTGGGTGGAAGAGACTGAGAGCAGATCTACATGAACATTTAGTTTGTGGGAAGCTGTCCTGCCAGGCACCGAGTGTCCATGTGGACGGTGTTGCTGCGCATTGAGGCCCTGTCTACACTACTGCTTAAGTTGATGTAAGTTACATTGCTCAGGCATGTGAAAAGACCTCCCACCCGAACTATGTAACTTACGTCGACTTAAAGCAGTGTCTGCATTGCACTGTCAGCAGGAGATGCAGATCAACTGAGGACCACAGATGGGAGGGGCCGCACAGAGAACAGGGGGGAAACTGGGACTTGGCTGGGAAACCCAGAGGTGAAGTCCAGAATTGGCTTGTCCAGGAGACTGGGATTGGGGATGAGAAGCTTGAGAAGTGGAGACTGGAACTGGGTAGTCAAGAAGAATGGGACTGGGACACAGAGCAAGGGATGGGGAAGAGACAGGTTGGAGGGGTGGGGGCACAAGGAGTTAGGCTTGGTAGAAAAGGAGAAGAGAGGTCTCTGACCACTAGAGAACACACCACTCCAGAGCCTGGAATGGAACCCAGTATCCCTGAGTTTTGCCATTCTCCTGCTATCAGCAAATATTTGTCAAAACCTCCAAAAAAATCTTCTGATCCCCATCTAGTGCTGGTCCACAAAGAGGATGACAACCTACTACTGCTGTCAGTTACTCCATTAGCTCAAGTGGCAGAGGTTTGTGTTCCAAGCTTTTAAACAAAGGGTTCCTGCCATAGGCAAAAGCTATATAAGGCAGGGAGTGATTTCATCCTGGATCTTCACTCTCCACACAAGAAGACTCCTGGAAACACCTGAGGACCAAAGACTGAACTGGGGGAAGTGCTGGACCCAGGCTAAAGGGATTTCTAGCCTGTGTATGAAACACCTGGGGATTTCAAGCTGCAAAACAAGTATAGCTTGTGCCTTAACTTAAGACTCTGCAAGTCTTCCTGTACCATCAGTTAGGGTGAAAATCCGCTATTCATATCCAATCTATCTAGTATATTAAGCTTAGATTGCATTTTTGTTTATTTGCTAGGTAATCTGCTTTGATCTGTTTGCTATCACTTATAATCACTTAAAATCTATCTTTTGTAGTTAACAAACTTGTTTTTGTTTTAATCTAAACCAGTGAGCTTTGACTGGAGTGGTGGGTAAAATCTCTACTTGGTTACTACAAGTGTACATTGTTCTCTTCACATTGAGGGAGAGGTGGACCAGATTTTAAACCACTATTCTGGCCAGATTTGACCAGGGCAGGACAGTACTTCTCTGGGGTCTGAGGCTGGGAAGCTGGTGGTTAGAGAGCCTGTGTGTAACTGCAGCTGGGTGTGTCCCTACCTGTGTGAATGCTGGTGAAAGTGCAGGCTGAAGGGCTCAGAGGTACCCCAGTTCCAGGTAGCACCCCAGGGGGAACCCGTCACAATAGCGTTTCACAACTATTGACCTCTTTAAATTGTGTGGGAAAACAAACATTTGGTCTCCAGGCAAACATAATACAATTATGTGGGCTCCAGGCAAACAAATGAGAAAATATCAGGGATGGACCAAAGCTGCGGGTTTCACTCCCAGACCTGGATCTGAACTTCCCCAATGTTCCGAGTGCTGGGTGGGGTCATTATTCCAAGTTGGCCCACAGAAGTGGAGCAAGCATATGATAGGTGCAGTATGTAAATGTAATTGTTATCCTGAAAGGTGGTAATGGCTGTCATCACGGGGATTTGGATCGAAAGCAAATCACAGACCTCATGAAAGCCAATGGCTGGCCAAGCACTCTCTATTAGGCTCAATAGATAGAACCATCAAAATCCTTTATGTACTAAAAACATCTGTAGACAGTGAGGGCTCTTGCCCAAGGCACTGGCCACATGGTCAGGGCAGAGCTAGCCAGGGGTTTCCCTTGTTGCCAATGCAGGGGCCAGGATATTGGTGTTGGACTGTGTCTGTTGGAGGGAGAAGCCAGTAGAAGGAGTTGTGACCAGGATCCTAGAAGGGAGCAAGGAAGCCTGTTGGAGCTCACTGGAGGGGCAGGCTGGGGACTTCTGAGCATTGAAACTGCCAGCTGTTGTTAGGTTCAACTGTGTGCAGGGAAACAGAACTTTGCGTGCACTTAGCCTTGGGTCCTACCACGAGTGAATGTCACTGAGTTAACTTGGTTGAGAAAATGCCCTTTTTTCCTAGTACAGACCAGGCCCAAGGGGTTTCCTTTGGGACTGGACTGAACAGAGCAGCACCTAAATAACCTTCCCTGTGGATTGCAGCAAAGGGACCTCTTTGTATTTGCTTGGCATTAAAGGAGCAGGATGGTCTGGCCATGTACTTGTGTGAACTGCTCTGTTCTCTAAGCCCCAACTCAGCCATCCACTGCTGCAACCAGCCTGTTCCAGGGGTCACAGGGGAACTCTGCATGTAGCCGTAGCTCCTAGGCGTAGTAATGATGCCCGTACTTGCTCCCAGTCTCAGGGACAGTCCTGGGTCCTCAAACCCTGTCCTGGGGGGCAGTTCTCCCAGGCAATATCCCCTGACTGCGTGGCAGGCAGTGGCCCATCCTCACACTCCCTGTTTACTGCCTCCCTCCCAGCAGCCAGTTTTGCCTCTCCACAACCCTCAGAAATGCAAACAGCTGTAAAGACAACTGGCGGCAAGGGGTGGAACTCAGAGTTACCGGGGAAAAAGTCAATGGCAGGGAGTGGGGGCAGAGTCTGCTCCTCATCTGGGGAAGGAGTAGCCTGTACATGCACGGCAGAGAGGCCAGGTAGAAAGGGGAGACGAGGAGGGGGTAGAGCCCAAAGGAGGCGGGTGGGAAGAGACCAGTGGAAGAGGGAAATGTGTAGGGCAGGAGGGAGAGGAAGCTCTGGAAGGGAGCACAAGGCTGTAATGCCAAGCGCCACAGAACAAAAATTGTGAGGTTAAAAAAAAATCCAGTCTCATTTTTCTATCCATCTTTGGACTTTAAAACCGCCCTCTGCTCCTCTGCCAGAGTGGGGGTGAGAATCGCAGGCTGAAAAGTCACCGTTTCATGCACCCAAACTGCACGACTCCCCCTGGCCGCTCAGCTGGAGACTGTGCTTACCCTCCCCTCACCCCTGAGCCGGGAACTGCCGTCCATTGTCCAGCACTGCCTTCGCTCTCCCCGTCTGGTTCAGTTCCTCTGACAGATGAAGGGCTGGCTGAGAAATAGCTTGACAGCCACTGAGCTAATTCATGCAGCATAGTTCCCGCTCGCACACAGAACTTCTGTTACTGGTCAGGGCTGAGTTACATATATTGGACCTTCACCTTCACACTGACATCAACCATTCACACCAACTGTAATGTCACCGTAACACAACAGGAATGATTTAGCCATTTGCAAACAGCAACACTTCCCTGGTTTCCCCCACCCCACCCCCGCAACTTCTCTGCCTGAGACTGGGAAGCACTGCCCCCATTCCAGAGCCCCCTCCCTTCTCCTCCCCATTTCTCCTTCCCTCCTGCCCCCTCCCACTCCTGACCCCATCCCCTGCCTACCCCAGACTCCATTCCCCTCCCCAATACTCCCTCCTGTCTCCCTGCCCCAACCCCCCAACCTCCTGTCCACCAGCACCAGACCCCCCGACTCCATTCCAACTCCTCCATCCTCCCCAATACTCCACCATGTGCCCCTGCTCCAGGCTACCTCCCCCGCTCCCATCCTCTGCTCCACACCCCTCCCCTCCTCACCCTCTTGCTGCCCTACCTCAGGCCCCCTCCCTCCTCGCCCTACACATGATCACCCTTCCCCACCCCACCTCCTCTTTCCCCCCTTTTTAGAGCCCCCTCTTTTCCCCATGCCTCCTTCTGACCCCCTCTCTGCTCCCTCACCCTTCCCCTTTCTCCCTCCTGCCTGATTCCTCACCCCGCTCCTCACTTCTCACTCCTGTCCCCCACTCTGGACCCCCTCTTCTCTCCACCTCTCCATGCAGACTCCCTTCTTTAGATTCCCTTCTCCTCTCCTCCCTCATGCTCCCTGCTCAATAACCCCCTCCAGCCCCATGATCCCTGCTCTCCCTCTAGACCACCCTGTGCTCCATCTCCACTCTTCTCTCCTGCCCCAATTTCAGATCGCAGTCCCCTCCCCTCCCTTCTGACTCTCTCTTCTGCCTCCCTGTTACCCCCACTGCAGACCCCTCCTCTCCCCACTTCTCCCTCCTGCCCCCCTTCCGACCTCCTTCCTGTCCCCCCAAACCAGACCCACCTACTCACTCCTTCCATTTCCTATAGCCCTTTCCAGAACCTCGTCCCCTCTGTCCCTCCTGCCCCCTGCTACAGACACTCTCCCTTCCCCACCCTCTTTCCTCCCCTTGCTCCAGAACCCCCTCCCTCCGGCCGACTCATCATCTTTAACCCATTCCCTTGCAACTCTTGAATCTTCCTCCTGTCTCCCCAGTGCCCTGCTCCCCTCACTCTCTTCATCCTCCTTTCGCTGGGTCTCTGCTGCCCATCACAGTCCCTGGGTCCTCTCCAGGCCCCTCAGCCACCCAGAGACAGCCGTGTTCCCTGTGGGCTTTAGTGGGAAGTGGCAGCCAGCTTTACTCAGGGCGGCCTCACTCCCACATGCCGACAGACTGTAGGGAGATGGCGGCATCTTTCTGGTGTCAGACCCAGTGACAGTGACAGGAGATGGCGCCATTCGGAATAAGGGAAACTCCGTGAGTTGGCGCCTTTCATCGTGTTCTCACGAAACAGGTAAAAACACCCCAAATCGCCAGAGTGGGGATACAATGGTGAGAGCTGCAGCACTGACAGACCCGAGTGTGAGGCCCTGAGATTGGATCAGGTGGAGCCATGAGGCAACTCTGGGCGTGTCCCATTCTCCTGGCTCTGGGTGCGGATCCTCTGCTGCAGGGCGCGGACTCTGCTGTGATAACGCTGGGGAGGGGGCTCCCTGCTCGCTCTGACCTGCTCTGTGTCTCTCTTTGAAGGTGCTGATGAGCTGAGGCTGGTGAATGGAGGCAGCCCCTGTGCCGGGAGAGTGGAGGTTAAACACCAGGATCAGTGGGGGACGGTGTGTGATGACAAATGGGACATGACAGATGCTGGGGTTGTCTGTAAGCAGTTGGGATGTGGAGCTGCTGTCAGTGCCCCTGGCTTGGCTCCATTTGGACCAGGTTCTGGAACAATTTGGCTGGATGAAGTTGCCTGTGATGGTACCGAGTCTGCTCTTTGGCATTGTGGGAACGAGGGATGGGGTAAGAGTGACTGCATTCATGAAGAGGATGCTGGAGTGACCTGTTCAGGTAAGAATCAACCAGCTCTGTCCTGAAAGGCAAATCCCCTGAGACAAAAGGGTTTGAACCTAGAGGGCATCATGTGCCTGTGACCCTAATGAGAAATTAACAAAAACCAGAGCAAGTTCTGTCATTATTGTTATTACTGAGCTCTAATTATTACTGTCCATGTCTCCAGCCACTGAGGAGCCCCCTGTGTGACTGTGGAGTGTTTTTATTATCTCATCTCCAATTGTTTCCATGCCACGTCTTTCCTTTCCCTCTGAATGGGTCTAAAATGCAGATAGGAGAGAAAATGGAAAAGGAAAATGTCATGTAGGCTCCTAAGTCACTGAGGCACTTTTGAAAATGTTACACTCATGCTAAAACCCAGACCCAGACCCCCAACCACAGAGGTACAGAGGGTGGGGCATTTATGTTGCCCCTTTGCCACCCTTATAGGATGGTCAAGGAATGGGCAGATTCTCCCAGCTTGGCCAGAATTAGATTTAGCGGAGAGCACTCCCCCGTCTGCTCTGTTACTTTTCACATTTTGGACCATTAAGAGGCATTTGTTGTGACTCAATAGTTAACATTACAACTACCGACACATTATAAGTTTTATTTTTAATTTCTCTCTTCTTAACATTTAGTAGGAATAATATCTTCCTCTGACATAGCACAAGGAAGAGTAAGTAGAATATTTTCCTATGGTTCCAAAAGTTTTAGCAGCTTCCCCTTAAAATGGGAGCTCAGGCAGTGTTTAATCTTTGCCCCTTCCTGGATTTTGAAAGTTTCAATGACAAACCTCAACATTCTCTTCACATGGGTAGCAGGGGCAGGGGGTAGGGGTTGTACCTGTAACCCTTCTGCCAGGTGAAGCCAGCAGCAACAAGAGCTGCTTTCAGTATCAAGGGTTCCTTTTCAACAATACGACACAGAACCGGTTCAAGCCCCCACCCAGTAATCTGGGAAAATTACACACCACCCCTGGTCACCTCTGAGAGGCAATACTTCCCCACTCGCAAGCAGAGTCTGTGTGTAGAAGATGAGGCCCAGAAAAAGATCATCCTTGTCGACGTCACGGTCTCTTTTGAGAACAGGACCCTGGCATTTCGCGAAGCTCGAGCTCGTAAGCTGGAAAAGTACTCCCCCCGGCTGATACCCTGAGAGCGAAGGGCTACGAGGTGCAGATGGACGCCCTGATTGTCGGAGCCCTGGGCACCTGGGACCCCTGCAATGAGCGTGTGCTGTGGACCTGAGGGATTGGTCAACGCTACGCACGGCTCATGCGGCGCCTCATAGTCTCAGACGCCATCCGATGGTCCAGGGACATCTACATCGAACACATCACCGGCCACCGACAGTACCAGGAGGCGTGAGCCAGAGTGACATCGTTCTCCCACTACGAGAAAGGGACCAAGTGACCTTCTCCGTTGGATCATATGAACTGGAACCATAAACTCCCTGAACATTAAATCTCACCAAATGAGGGTCAATCCATCCTCATCATCATATCCACTCATTATACTCCAGACCCGAACATAGCCACTCTATGAACTTCATAACCTCATATCTCAATGCCTGTACTTTGACCCATCAACCTTTTACCCCCAATTGGGGATATTGCAGTTTATGTATTTCTAATGCCACCTGATCTTAAACCAAACTTTGCACCCTCGATAATCTGTATGTTATTCCCTGATAACCAGAAACTTCTATGCTCAAACTCTGTTCACTATTTTTTTAACATCATCTTAATAAAAATTTTAAATGTTAAAAGAAACTTTTAATGAAAGGAGGCAAGTCACCCAAAATTAATTAGGGAAAATTCCACAAGCAGGATTCATAATCATAAAACTGTGAGTAAGACAGCCACCCCAGCGTGCGTAGGGCAGTCTTCTGCCTCATGTTCTTGAGTGCTACAGCCAAAAGTTCTTTTACCATGCCCCTCTCTACTTCATCACCACACCCCACTCACAGTGGTTGTCCTTGGTCAGTGAGGACCTAGGGGTCAAAGGTGCATCTGTGTGAGCTCACCTCCCACCCAGGGAAGAAGGCACCTTGCTTGTTCTGCCATCTGAGCACTTGGTCTGTCTGGCTGCCTTACCAGCCACTGTTCCTCTCTTCTGGCCTCCCTGGGAGCCGCTGCTCCTCACCACCTGGCTGCCCTGCCAGCCGCTGTTCTGCTTGGCCATCACCTTCTGCCTCTCTGCTGTAACCTCTGCATGTCAGTGTCCTGAGAGCCCACCCAACTTTTAGTGATTGTCAGCTCTCAGTGAAGCAGGCTGGGCAGAAATGCTGCCTCACCACAAGTGCTCTTAGCTGTAGTGAGCACTTAAGAAAAGATTCCTAACTAGACCAGGGACCCTTAGGGAGAGTGCACACCTTCTGGCTAGAACACTTGTCCCCACCCTTCTTACTCTCACAGGGGTCTGGCATTCAAGCTGCTGGCTTTACAAATTCCTTTCAGCTGAGGGTGACCCCTTCATTTGGGACAGGCTAAGCACAGTTCTGCTCCCCTTTACTAATACAATAAAGACAACAACACTGATAACAATATTTCACTATCCCTGCATTCAGTACTAAAGTGATTTGAAACCCAAAACCAGCCAAGCTGATCACTTTGAGCAACACAGCTCTATCTGCTGGATATCTAGGCAGAGTAGGTGTGTTTGTGTAAATACAGTTTGCTTCTGAAGTCTCCCCCTCCCAGCTAGTTGTGAGGGGAGAACACATTCAGATCCTGCTTACATCTGCAATTTCCTAGTACTAATACAAAATAAAAAGATGGGTTGGGCAAGAACTTTACAAAAATGAGCATCATTATCAGGACTTTGAAACTCTGCAGAAAACAGATTGACCTTCACCAATGTAAATTCCCTAACCTGGTAACAACAACTGCAATGCCTTGTGCTGCACACCTAGCAAGTGCACAGCAGGGAGTCCCTCTCCTCTGAACCTCACCAGGAGGAGGGACCTGCAAAAGAACCAAGGAGTATCAGAAAAAAAGTCCCTTCTGTGCACCTTTCTGTAAAACTGCACCTGCATCTCAGCTGGAGCTGCACATTTGCAGTGGGAATAAAGTTCGGGTTTGTAACAAGGCGCTTGAACGGCTGGGCTGCCTACTGGTTGGTGCCCCTGACGTCCAGCCCCTTGTTTTCAAGGTCAATTTGCCTCAGTCTTTTAGGCAGTGGGGTAGGGGAACCCAGGCTCTCCCTCTCCACCGGGTCCCAGCCCAGGGTCCTGCATGCATCAACCCCTGAATAGGGGAGGCCTCCCAGCAAGGTGTCTAAATCCACTGCCCTGGGCTACTTCCTACCACGGTCCCTTTTGTTTGGGGCATGGCCCCTCTAGTCCCGTTCTCTGGGTGGCTTGTACCCCATAGTGCCCTCTCGTGGCTCTTGGGTGGCATCGTTCTGCCACCCCAGACTCCTTCAGATGGGGGCAGCCACACGTTTGGTGAGACTGAACCCCACAATGTCTCTGGGCTTCAGGGACCCAGTTACCTCAGTTGCCAGAGGCTCCTAGGTCTCCTCAACAGTCCCCTTTGGCCGGGGAGACAGTGCTTAGTCCCTGGTGGCTGCCTCAGCTGGCAGACTAGTGACCCTTAACCTCAGGTAGGTATACGGATCGCTCCTGCCTCTTCTCCAGTCAGCCCTCGACTGAGCCAGGCTCTCTCCTTTTCCCCCTCCAGGCCTGGCATTGGTTGCAGGTATAGTGGGGTGGGGCTAGCTGAGCCCAAAGACTCCCTTTAACCCCTGCCGTGCTGGCAGGATAGTTCCACATGCCTGTGCTGAAGGTTGGAGAGGAGGATGAGTCTTTCCATGGCCCATATAGTTATGTCCATTCTTGTCACCAATCCCCGTCTTCCCTGGATAGAGTTTCCTCTGACTACCACATGATCTCTGACCATCGATGAGCTGAGAGTAGAGGGCTTGTTTTGGGAGGCGAGAGTCTGGCATCCGCATACAATGTTCAGCCCAGTGGAGTTGGTGAGTGAGGATCATTGCTTCAATGCTGGTGACATTAGCTTCAATGAGGATGCTGGTGTTAGTGCAACGATCTTCCCACTTGATGCAAAGGATCTTTGGTGGTACCTCTCCAGACTCTTGAGGTGCTGTCGATAGGTCACCCAGGTTTCGCATTTATAAAGGAGTGTAGGTATAACAACTGTCTCATAGACCTGGATCTTGTCCTACCGTAGGTCACGGTCTGTCAAAATGCATCAGAGCAGTTTCCCAAAGGAAGCATTTGCGCAATGGATCTGGTGCTGGATCTCACTGTCAGTTTTTGCATTTTGAGAAAGTTGGCTACCGAGATAAGAGAAGTCCTCAACTCTCTCGAAAATCTGTCCCTCGATGATGATTTGTGGTGGCTCATGTGCAAGGCCTGAAGCAGGCTGATGGAGCACTTTAGTTTTCTTGATATTGAGTGAGAGACATAGACTTTGGTAAGGTTGTGCAAAAAAAATCCAGTGAGGACTGAAGGCATTCTCAGTGTGCATGATGATGACAGTCATCAGCGTACTGAAGGTCAGTAATGGACATCCTGAGGACTTTGAACGGAAACGTCAAAGATTAATAAGCCGCCCATCCATTCTATATTGAATGTGAACTCCAGTGGGGAGACCGTCTTTAACAAGGACCCGCTAAATACATGGAGAACAGGATTGCAGCAATAACACATCCTTGCTTACCCCAGTTTTGATGATGAAAGGATCCATCTCTTGGCCGTTACAGAGAGACTTTTCCTGGATTAGGTGAGCAACGAAGATCATGCCAGTTGTCCTGTGGGATGGTCTGAAAGCACACTGAGATTCCGACAATATTTCTTCAGCAAGGGGAAGTAATCGGTTTAAGAGGATATGGTATATCCACGCTCCAATTTATCTCCTTTTTTAAAAGATGGTAACAATGTTGGTATTTCTCATGTCTTCTGGAATCTTCTCATTATACCAATTTTGAAGAAAAATTAAGCTCCCGATGGCATTGCTCTGAGGATCATTGGAGCACACAAGCCCCTTCACC